ATAATAATAATAAATCATACAGTATGTGACCGAAAGGGAGCAGGAGTAAGCAAACACAAAAATATACAAAAAATATACTGCATATTAAAGCAAACGATTAGGTAAAAGTATGAGCATAACAAATCACCCCGGTCCTCAAAGAACTCCACTGGCTTCCCGTCTCACACCGCATTCACTACAAACTCCTGGTCCTCACCTATAAAGCCCTCCACCATCTGGCCCCCCCCTACCTCACTGACCTCCTCATCCTCTACCAACCACCCCGGTCCCTCAGATCCACCTCAGCCGGTTTGCTCTCAATCCCCAAGGCCAAACTCCGGAGCTTCGGGGACAGAGCCTTCTCTGTGGCAGCCCCGAAGCTCTGGAACTCCCTCCCCCAAGACCTCCGTGAGTCTGATTCCCTCACCCTGTTCCAGTCCCGTCTCAAAACCCACCTCTTCAACTCTGCTTATCCTTAAACCCACCCCTCCCCCCTCTGAACCAACATCCTCCTGACTGCTTTTCTGTTTTTGTTTTGTTTTTGTTTGTGTTTTTGTTCTTGTTTTGTTTGTCGACCTGACTCATAATGTAAAGCGTCTTTGGGTCTAGAAAAGCGCTATATAAATCCCATTTATTATTATTATTGTTGTTCAGTATAGCTCGATGTAATCTACAGGTACTCAAATTAGTATAACTGCAGAACCTTAAACACAATCTACAATCTTGGCTTTTTCTCAAAAATAAATAAATTGTACTTTTAGGGCGGTCCTTTGAGTGTGGTACATTTTGGATTTGGCATTTAATGAAAATAGCTTGGGGGGGTTTTCACTCAATGTGATGTTTGTACCAAACAATCCTACACAGTCACCCCTGGTATACATTCTACAAATGGTAGATTACTAAAATGAATAAATAATGCAACTGTGCAGAAACAAACAAAATGAAACACATCAAAAAGCTGCACAGCATTTATGAATCAATAGGCTACTATGAATGAAGCTTCAAACTTTTTAATGCGGCTCTACTAAATAACTATTGTTCTCCAAATAAGTAAGTGATGGGTGGGGAGGAACTGCTCATAACTTTTTTTCTGTCTGCTATTTCCTGCAGTTTCCTACTGAGCCATAGTGTAATCCACATCTCTCTGACCTGGTACTGCTCCAGCGCGCCCTGCCTGTCCTCCTCCAGCTGGTCCAGCTGCTTCATGGCGGCCTGCAGCTCGTTCTCTTTGATCAGACGCTCCCTCTCCAGCTCCTGCTTCTCAGCCTTCGTCTCTGCGATGGCGCGCTGCTGCTGCAGGTGAAACTCCTCCAGCTCCGCCCTCTTTACGGCCTCCTCCTCCAGCAACCTGCTCCACACACACATCAAACATTGGTCAGTATATAAGTTATGTTTCCAGCTGAGCCCTGCAGTGTCACATTAAACACTTTCTAAAGCATATTATAACCTAAACTGAGCATAATGTGTGCATGCATGCACTTAGAACAGAAAACAAACCTTTTAGAAAATAAAGATTAATTGTGCAAATGTTTATATTCTTTTTTCTAAATGTATCTTCCCTTGCTTTTATTTGTTATGTTGTCTTACTATGTCTACAGTATGCACCAATACAATCCATCACATTTGTCCTATGTGAAACGTTCATAATCAACTGGATCCTGATCATAGTTTGTAGGCATTAGTTGCTACACATTAGCAACATTTGCAATTCCCACCATCAATATATACTCTTATGTATTTGTAACTAAAGTGTTGGAAATGTTCTAACCATTTCTCATAGGTTATAAAAGTGCAAAGTAATGAATGATCTTAATCTAAAATATGTGAAACAGGATGTAACAAAGTTTCCTCAGTCTAAAAGAAATTAAGCAACTTGCATATAAATCAACAGAAAGGTGGAGGGTGTTGTTCGACAGCAGGTGGCGCTGTAGTGCAATTGTGAACTAAATTGTTGGGTAAATGTAACTTGCATTGTTTATATTCTTAAGACATTATATACAGAAGGCAGTCGAAGATTAGATGAAACCAAAATGAAGTCACTGTTGTTTATTAATATGAAACATTAGGCTTCCCCATTTGGAAGTTGCATCTTGCACACAGGAGCTACAGTGGTGACAAAACACTCCAAGTTTCCTTTGGCATTATAATGATTTACATATTACTGTGGAATAAAGGTTGCTAAACGGTTTACTAAATGTCTAAACACAAGTAACTGAACTTTAACCTTTCCTCTATGAATAACAGCAGTACATAGCTGACTAATGATTAAAAACTGATAGCTGTCTTTGTGACCCAGCAGTTTAATTTGAACAGTGTGGTCAGTATGCTGCTGACATGCTCACTACTGGTTAGTCAAACGTGAGGTGGAAAGCAAATGTCAGCAGAGAAGGAGGAGGGAGGAGGAGGAGGGGAGGAGGAGGGGAGGGAAGTACAATGTCTGGCTGTGTGAGAAAGAGAGGAGCAGAATCAGTCCATGTGATTTCGGTTAAGAGAAACTAGTAAGTGATCATGATGTAAAATACAACCTAAATCTGAGGTGGACCAATTCAACCACCTGGTAAAAGAAGGCAACTAGGGAGGGAGGCGTGTGGCGCAGGTTCAAACCCCACTGCAGTCAGCATGTCGTTGTGTCCCTGAGACACTTCACCCCAAATTGCTCCTGTGGGGATTGTCCACAGTATTGAGTATGGAAGTCGCTTTGGATAAAAGGGACATGTAATGTAACTAGCATTCATACGACTGATGGTTTTGTTTGTGCTTGTGAACTAACACACTTTTATGAGGGCTGTTTGGTTATATGATGCATTTTATGATGTTAAGTGAGTTCAATGTAGGGTTGCAACCAACGATTCTCATGAATTATCCCTCCATGTTTCTCTAGGTACATTCCTTGGTCTATGAATAGGGAGAAACGTCCATCCCAGATTCTCAAAGTTGACAGTGACGTTTTTGAATGTAATAAGGAAATTCCCTTATTTCAAAACCGCATTTTTGACCGAACGTGCCTGCAGCCTGTGGACGGCCTCCTCGTTAAAACAACCCCTGATATTTTTGCTTAGTTGCAGAATAACTTTGTGCACGGGCTGTTCTATCAACGGACTCTAATAATAATAACTCTCTCTCCTCGCTGTTGACTGACCGTGCCTGCAGCCTGCGGACGGCCTCCTCGTCCTGCCGCGCTCTCCTCTCGTCCTCCAGAGCGTCCTCCAGCTGGCCGTACATGCCCTCCATCTCTTTGACCCGCTGCAGGTACTGCTCCAGCTCCTCGGACTTCTGCGCCACCTGCTCCTCCATCTGCTGCCGGACCTGTGGAAGCACGACAAACACTGTCAACACTCCTGACTTTTGTTTAACGAGTAGTCCATAAGGAATACATACCTTCCCCTCCCAGTGATGGGTTCAGACCTAATTTAGGTAATAGACGTGTTCTCTGTGCACTCAAAAGTGTTCTTGCCTGTGGTTTATCAGCATATCGCTTGAATCTTGACTGGACTGACTTTTATGCTACTCACAGAGATGAACATTTACTTCATCAGTTATTTTAATTATAAATGTATAATTTTAGGTACTTATTATCAACTAAAAGTATCAAATATTGACTACCTTCAGCTTCTAAAAAGGTGGATTTCGCTTTTTGTCATTTCATTTTACTGCAATTTTAGTTATCTATATCTATTCAACTTGTTTTTTGGTTCCAGATGAATATTTGTAATGGCCATTTTTTACAATTAGTTTATTTTTAATATTGAACTAATCTTTTTCTAATGAAAAAAATAATTTGATTTAAATCTATATACAGTATGTTAAACCCTCTCAAAGTTAGATTTAGTGCATTGCATACATTCATGTAACACTTTCACTCATAAAAGTAAAAGTGTTGAAGTTGTGACTTCCTGAAAAAAACTGATCGAAGATAAACCCCCATTTACACGGAAACGCAACCTAACCGAATTCAATATCAAAAAAGTATTTAGTTCACACGGATACGGCTCAATTAACGTGTCTGTTCACACGAGACCGCTCGACCCGCTGGAAACGCTGTAGTACATATGCCGGGCCTGTAAGTTGCACCACAAAATACACCAAAAGCAGCGAAGAAGACCCCCGAGCGCGGTTGCCATGGTTGCCCTTCTGTTTATTCTCCGCGGTGGATTTAGCCGCATGTAGTTCATGTAATTCTCCATGTCCACTTGTTGTTGATGGTTGTGGTAGAGGAGCTGTAGATTTTGCACTAACATCTGTAGCATGGGCAGTAGCAGTAGAGCAGCAGAGGTGTTCTCGTGTAAACAGCACATCAGAGTGCACTGAGCATGTCAATATGTTATCAGTAGAGGCAGTGAGGCGCAGTATAGATGCTTTTATTGTGGTGACATTAGCCGCGTTCACACCGCAGTACTTTTCCCACTTTAGTTCCGATATAGTTCCGAAATGTCGCGTTCACACCAAAAAGAGCCGGAACTACAATTAGTTCATCAGAACCTTTCCACCCCCTTTTCCGTCCCTGCTAGAGAGCAGGGACTTTCGTGGGAGAAAAAGGTTCCTATGTCTGATTGGCTGGGCGAATTGCAAACCACGCCCCGTAAAACTCCAAAAAAGTGTTGTTAAGCCGCCATTTTATTATCCTCGCATCAGCATTATTAGCATTAGCCCAGCGCACAAACGCAGAGAGACTAACGTATGGCAACACAAAAGAAAACATGGGAGCGGTGGAGATGTCGGCGTTCTGGCGATTTACTCGGAAGGCTTCAGTAGAATGCCAGTCCCCAACTCCGGGGACTTCCGGCCGGGGACTTCGGGTGGCAGTATACGCCGTGAAGTCGTTTGCGGCCTGCCAGTTAACCCAAAGCAGAAGAAGTGACGTCAGCGGCTTCATTTGCCTAATCCTCCCTCAGGGACTTATTCCGGTGTGAACACGATCGGCTCTTAGTTTCATTGGGGTACTAAGTGCTGGGAACTAAGTACGGGAAAGTACTTGGTGTGAAAGCGGCTAATGGTTACCAAAGGGGGCGGGGCTTAGCGGTCATTCTGTTCTTTCAACTTTTTTGTTTTTTTCTCTCCTTGTCCATCAACAGAGTCCATTTAAACGATTATTTACCTGTATTTTCTAAGCAAAGCTACATCAGTCGAGCCCACAGCCGGCCGGAGTGAATTACAATCTACCGGTAAAGTTATGCACAGTACAGTTGAAGTGGTATTTCAGCTGTCAACCTCACTGCTTTCTCAAGTGCTATTGTTGCCCATTATAAAAATAAATACACGATTATGTACCTTTCTTACCTGTTGTAAGTAAAGTTATAACAGTCGACCACAATCCGCCCAACAACCGGCCGGAGTTAGGTTTCAATCTGCCGGTAAAGTTATATTATATAAGTAGTATTATATAGTATTTCAGGTTTCAGTCAAACTGCTTTCTCATGTGTTATCGTTGCTATAGCAAGGGTTACCAAAAGGGGGGCGGGGCTAAGCGAACAGACTGTTCATGTAGCTCTTTTGTCCCTCAACAGAGTCCATTTACACCATTATGTACCTGTCTTTTGTAAGTGAAGCTACATCAGTCGACCTCAATATGCCCAACAACCGGCTGGAGTGAAGTTTCAATCTGCAAAAGTTATGCACAGTAACGTAGTGTTTCAGGTGTCAGCCAAACTTCTTCCTCAGGTGTTAGCCGGTATTGTTTTGTTCCGTATAGCCGAACTGATCTCGAGTTTTGGCGACAGCACGCACACGGACCCCATCCTGTTCATGGAGGTGTTTTTAGTCGTGCCCTCGCTGCCCACCGTGGAAAGAGGGAAGCTCTCGTAGACCTCGGCCGGTCCGCCTCCACACCGGCAGCGCTGCAGCGTCGCCTTCAGCTCCCTCTGGAAGTTGCTGTTGAGGAAGCCGTACACCACGGGGTTGATGCAGGTGGAGGCCATGGCGGTGAGGTGGCAGGCGGAGAACACGGCGTTGTGCTGGCAGTCGGGCAGCGCCTGGTGGTGCCAGTCGAACAGAGTGTTGAAGACGGTGAGCGGCAGCCAGCACAGAGCGAAGGCCACCACGATGCAGAGCAGCATGACGTTGATCCTGTGAGCGCTCTGAGTCCTGCGGCTGCGATCCAACATGTCCCTGAAACACAGCAGCAGGTCTGGGGTCAGGAACTCCACAAAGAGCCCCCGGCACAATGCATATACATTTATACATATGTTATGCATGCTTCTTAGGTAACATTGAGCTTTCTTTGGCTCTTTTCTGCTGTAACAAATGTAAATTTCCGCTCTGCAGGAAGCCTGGAGTCAGTCTTCTGAATCCAAACTGAACCCCCGGCACAATGCTGGGGAATATAAATATAAATAGAGCGCCTAAAGGAGTTCTGGCGTTCGGGGAGCCCTGAGAAGCAAATGAGCAAAAGACTATTCTGTTGATCTATTTTCTAGTCTGATAAAAATAGTTTCCTCTCCTGAGTTTTATAAACCGGTTGGGCTGGATTTGATTTGTGTTTCCAGGAGGAGAAAGCTGCATGTTGGACAGCTTAACCAAATGTCTGCTACCACCCTGACCTCAGCTGTTAGAATACTTATAATATATAGGTTTTTCTCATTTTGTTTACATTCTTACAGTAGCATTTCTGAACTGTATTCAGATGCAGGGAGCAAACTGCAGCCATGTTGGGTTCTGCATGCATACCTCATTCACACCAACGCAACTCTGGTTCAAGCTCCCTAGAGCTTTTCAGGTTCAGAACCGGTTCTTCGGTTTAGCTCCGTCTCTTTTCATACCGCCCAGAGTCCGACTTGTTATTGCGTCATCGTTTGTGTCATGACGTAACCGTTTGCGTGCCTGCTTCAAAAAGCCAGACCGCGCGGAAACCCCTCACAGCTGACACCGACAACAACATCGACTCCACTTCGAGCGATATAACTATTAACAAAGCACTTATATACTAATAAAGGACTGGCTTATCTAAAGCCAGTTGAGTAGCACTCTATGAAACCTGATGTACTTATATGATTCTGTTTTCTTCAAGTTTGTATCTTGTTGGTCGAATGCACTTATTGTAAGTCGCTTTGGATAAAAGCGTCAGCTAAATGTAATGTAATGTAATGTAACAACAATGGCCGATTGTGCTCCAGCTTCCTCTGCACCTCTTCAGAAGAGCAGATCCCCAGTAGGTAGCTGGTCTCTTCAGTGGACCACTGCCACAGACGAGAGTACAACTCCATCTACATCCTCTGTAAAGTCAAAGGGGTTGTATAAGATGAGACAAAGAAGACGTGACAAGAATTACTAAAATCAGACATATCAACGTAACAACACCTACGACCCCTGAGGTCAAGAGTTAGATTTTCAGCTGTTAACTGAATACTTTATCTGATCAATGTAGACATAGACAAATGGTAACCGTGTCCTTACGCACGATTCAACAATGTAACATGTGTATAAGTCTGCTCATCTATTTCATCTGTTCATAACTGACCATAATAAAATTCACCTGTTATCCGAGATGCTCGTAACAGAGCTCACACAAGATATAACGCAAACGTCATTTACCTTCTCCAAACGCTCGCTCACGCTATACCCCGCAACAACCTCACCACATGCGGGCTGCGCGTGGGACAAAAAGCGACGGCAACTTATACATTTAAGGGAGTCTTCGAACGACAACAGCCGGGAACTTGTTGCTCAAAGTAATATCACTGAGTATCACATATACTCGACGCAACGTATAACTCCCTGTATCCTCAACTCCTCTAGTCCCCTCTAGCGACCAACCACCAAACTGAGCCTCTTCTCTAGACTCCTTGCTGCCTGTCTCCATAAATCATAACCCATGTATAAAAGTGATTGTAGCCCTGATGACTTACTTCCACTCTCAAGGACCTTCCTACGCACGTACACACGGTGCGACAAGTCTTGCACAGTAACATATGACTTACAGAGAACTCTTCGCTTGGCGTCGGTAGCTTTCTTCCCTCCACTCTCTCAATATGGAAATTCATACCTAACACTCTATCATACACGACTATCTCTGACATAACATGAGTTACTTCTGTAAAACACCTCTCTACGAGTCCTCGTAATTCCACTCTTACTTGCCAGTCTGCACGTGCGCTAAGTACGTATAGTTACTCCCTACCTATGTGTAAAACCATAAGAACAATGATCTCGCCTCCTTTACTGTCTATATGTAGCTTGCACTATCACACCGTCTCTCCGCCCAGTAATTTGAGATATACTCACATGAACTTCTAATAAATCGATAGCTATCATCCACCTAAACATTCTTGCTTTCCTGCGTTCTCACCAGCTTCCCTCTGCATCTTATTCTCTATTACCAGTCTCTCCCACATCATATCCAATCTCCTCTCTCTCCCTCGCGGCTCTCGCCCGCCCTATATTATTCCACTCTACAGGATTGACCAGTATAAGAACAACGGATCACACACTCTCATCTTTCTCTCCCCCCCCTCTCTCCATTGACACGCTTGGAAACAATCAACATGAATACTCATTTATCTCACATCTATACGTACTATGAACAGAATCATATATATACACTTTACTATACTGGAAGTCTGTAACAAATGAACTCCTTCTATCATTTACTCCTCTTCATCTAAGAAGTCTACCATTGCATCAGAACTCTCATTATGATACTTTCTATCGACTATGTAAGTCTAGAACAAGCAGTTCATTTTCATATTTACAATAATCAGTCTCTGAAACTACAATAAAATGGAAAACTACACTTCACTTATCTATGACCGCTCATTGAGTCTAGGATCAAGGAATGGAGAAACTCATACTTTCAATTTCATTTTTCGAATTGGAAGTTTGTCTTTGTTTCATAGGAACTCATGAAGGATGGACCAAAATGATTAGGTTCTCATTTTCAATCTTTCACTTAGTTCTAGAACAAGACTCATCTTCATCTTCATCGTCTAGAATCAAGACTCATTTCATCTTTCATGAAGTCTAGGAACATGAACTCGCATTTCATTTTCATGGTCTCAACCATCCTTATGAGACATGTCATTTTCAGGACGTAGTTTTACAAGGAGTTTCATTTTCATTCTTTCTTAACTAGTAGTTTTAATTTTCAATTTCATCGCTGTCATTTTTTTTCATCAGTAACACGTTCTTAACCAGGTATGGGCGGGGGGGAGGAGGAGAGTGAGGAGTCCCTGGTAACTGCGTTGTGTGATTGGGGGGGGAGGAGAGGAGAGGGAGAGAGAGTCCCTGGTACACTAGACGGTTACCTCGGACCGGGAGGTCTGGTTCGTTCGGCCAGAGGAGAATGTGGTCGGAGAGACGACTAGAAGGTCATTGCGGACGCGGCGACGAGCGCGCCCACGATCGAGACGGATGGACTCCTAGAAGGAGGCGAGGACTCCTTCTGCGTCCAGACAGGAGACAAAGTAGAGGTGGCTCGTCACGAAGGCTACCAACCAAATGTTATAGTTCCTATGATTGTCTTCCGTGACTATGGGAGTAAGTGTGGTTTGCCACAAGTCCGGCCAAGCCTCGACCTCGACTTTTCGTGGCCCAAAGGACAAGTGTGGCGTCGCCTCGTCGGGTAGAAATCGAGAGCCTTTAGGCCAAGTAAAGTTCGTGGTTTGGTAAAAAGGCCGCGTCTCGTTTTTCGTGGCGTATGTTGGCAGTGCGAATGCCAGCTCCGCCCCCGTCCCCGTCCCCGTCCGTCCCCGTCCCCGGGTCCCCGCCCCCGGCACAATTGAGGACTTGTTGTTGTGTGTTTCGGCGCTAGACAAATAGGCGGTCAACACATGCGTGTCTGCTACCGTCTTTGAAATTNAACGGGGTGCTCTCTTTTCCTCTCCCTCTCCTGACAGCCCATCAGTCTCGTGCAGCTCGCTGAACCTGTAATAAGTGACCCGACAGTAAAGAATGCATATATGTAGAACTAGTTTAGCTAGTTCCAGAGTAGATAAACTAGCTAAGTGTGTTAGGTCTAACTCTCAAGAAAACCTCAACGCTCAACGGTCCGTCACAGCGGGGGAGCTGTGATCCGGAAGAGCTGTGTGTTCTCCGTCAGCAGCAGCTGATCTGATCTCTGATCTCTCGCTCGCGTTATACTTCACTCGCGTTGATGTCCAAATCTATCAGATCTAGCTAGTTCTAGTTAATTATATGACTGCCCGCTTTTCAAATGACCTAAACAATAAGCGTTGCTTGGCAACGGCGTGTGGCCTCAAAGTATAGCGCAGCATTATGCATATGTTTATATGAGGGGTCAAAATACCATGCTCATAAAATGCTCATATTTGTTTTCTCTTCATTCCCCACGCCCCAAAATAAATAAATAAACAAATATACCAATTTTAGGAAAAGTAATGAAGTTTGAGCATTGTGGGTTTTATATTAACAGTCGTTACACATATTTCAAAAAGCGCAAAAAGGGGGGTGTGTGCGTGTGTGTGTGTGTGTGTNCTCATCTCTGGAAGCCGTGGTACTGTAAAAAGCACGACCAATCATCTGAGCCGGCTAAAGTAACTGGATGGCCTACCTGCCTGTCAGCCTGTCATTCTTCCATCTGTGCACAAACTGACCTCGTGCCCTCATTGGTCATGTGCGCATTCATGTGTGTTGGAGGAGGGACTCTGTGAGGAAGTCTGAAGGAAGGGGCAGATTTTTTCCGGTTGTGTACTTTCAAATTCTAGTGCACTCGAGCTGGTTTCTCCAAAATTACATACCCCACCTTTAAAAATGAGAAATGTGAGTTCTGAGGTTTTTCACACGCTTGGTTTATTGACAATGAACCAACAATGTTTACAGAGAATTCATCAGAAAAGTAGAAAATGGAGAAACTCCAAGATGTTCCCTCTAGTTTATTAAAGTTAAATACAATCTGTGTTTTACTTCAGTACAGCCAAATGGAACATGGTGTGATGAAGAGTCATTTCGTGGCTGTTTAATGAATACAAATGTATAATCTGGAATGGAAGATGGACACGCTTTATTTAAAAGATCCAATGGAAACGTTATAATTGGAGACACAGTAAAAGAAGGGGAAGTTAAAGGTCACCTATTATTTAAAATCCACTTCTTTTAATTCACAGTCTGATACAAAACGTCCTCAGTTTGTAAAACATTCCTACAGAGTTTGATCTCATCCAGAGAAAAGTAAGGCTGAGTGGCATCGACAATATGAACACTGTTTCTAAATGCATTCATATGGAGTTTAATGAGAGCTTTCTATACTCAATGAGTTATGTTACAATGTTCAGAACCCCCATTTACTTCCATTGATAATCTCCACCACACTTTCTAAATACTATCACCATCATAATGACCATTTACAGTTGGAAGAATCACACTTCAAACACATGTGATGGAGCGGATTACATTTTCTTTCCAGAGATGGCGTTATTTTTGCCCCAAAATCTTTATTATTCAACCCGAAAATATGTCTTGAAGTGCGTTTGTCTACAGTTAGCATCCGAACAGGGTTTCCTTAGCAGACAATAACACACCCTTTTCTGTATATTACGTTACAGTTATATACCATATTCTTGTCACACTGTAATGCCACAGCTAACTCAATCAAATGCACAACAAGAACAAACTCGATTTATTTTCCTTGCTAGAGATGTTTTCCTGGGAACTGTCTTTTAGCACAATATCAACACATTTAGGACCTTCAACATGGTTTGGATCCGGGTTGGGAGGATTTCTTAAATGTATTCCTGCACGATTGCTAACTATGTGTTAGAAAACTTGGTCAGGAACCTAATCAGAGTACCATGTTTCACTAGGGGCTTTCACACCGTGCTTTTACCCGTACTTTTCCCATTTAGTTCTGTTAGTGCGTGGAATTTTGCGTTCACACCAAAAAGAGAACTTAGTTCAGAGAAATGTTAACCCCCATGTTTAGTGCCTGCTAGAGAGGTGGGACTATCCTGGGGAGAAAAAGTACCAATTTCGATTGGCTGGGCGAATTGCAAACCACGCCCCGTAAAACTCTGAAAAGTTTTGCGAAGAGCTATGACAATATATTGAATGAATGTTGTCCGATATCTTGGTCGCATGTATTAATCGACGATAAATAAATAAGATATTACCCGTTGTTATCGTGGAGAACTTCTTTCGTCCACTCCAACTGTCGACTTTATGGCGTGAAGTTGACATGAACGGTATTGAAAATGCCATCTAACAGTTAAGTGGAGCTATTAGTTTATATGTGTTATATGTCATAGTTTTTGTACTTTTCAGCCGCTTTTACTCTTTTAGATGAGGCTTTTATGACCGGCCGGAGTAGTCTCCACGCCCGTACTGACTACATCGCAAACCATCGGCATCATTTGTGTTGTCTCAGTTTGATGTCTTCTGAGCACTATGTACCTGAGACAAGTTCTCTCACCCTGTGTGTCGTCGTCATTTCTTTTTCTATATTTTCCAACTCTTGCTTCGTTGCTTTAACTCGGCGATTAAAAAATGGGGGTCGCGCTTGTGATATACCTCATGTAGAGTCTCTACATCTCCGGGCGCCACAATGCGTGTGTGTCTTCATGAATAGCTATGAATCCAAGGGTCGTGCGCAGTTCGGCGTCTACACTCAACTGGGGGGTACTGCTCTCTCTTTGTGACTTCTGCCGGTCTGATGTATGACAAAGTCTCTCTTGAGGATAGAAATGCGCTTATTCAGGACTCCCTCGTGTCTACCTTTGCCAGTTTACTTTCGTCGACTGCAGTGATATAAGACGACAACACCGGATTGGTCACCGTCCGGCTCGCCCGTTGCTGAAGTTGGCCGCACTCTCTCTCTCGGCTCCTCTCTTTGTAGGGCGACAGACTGCGTGTGATGGGGGCCTACAACCCCTGCCGAAGTCATCTTCTACGTCCCTCGAGGCGCCGTCGCCAAGGAGTGACTATAGAGAGAGTACTCATTAGTGTGTTCTTGCTGGGCCAACTCTGATAGTCAGGGCAGAGTTAGGAGGTGGCGTGGGTACTCAGCATACATATTTAAAACACCGTACCTGTGGTAAGTGTTTCACATGTTCTCTTTCCG